TCAAGACAGGTAGGACAGCAGAACAGACAGCAGTAAGATCCAAGGGCGGATAAACAATTAGACACGAGTAAGAATGACTAGATGATAACATTATTTGGTCCCTGAAGTCCAAAAGGGATCACTAACATCAGAAAAGAACAAGATGTCTGCACAGCCACGACTTGCTTCTTCCTCAGCAGTCGATGCCTGAAGGACTGTGCCGTGCAGTGTATAGGTAACTGCACACCTAAGCAAGTGCAGAACGGGTCAACTCTTGGCGCCTTGCGCGGCAGCTGACCATACTGCGCATGCTCCGCAGTTACCAAGGGAACAAACCGGGAGTACGTCAACAAATGGCTGCAGGGAAAGAAAGAGTGATTCAAAATACAACAGTCTCAGGGTTTTGAATAAAGATGTAGAAATGTAAAAAGAAATGAAAAAGGTTACGGCCTCAATGAAAATAGTCACAGAGACAGCACTGGTCCAGGGGACCCCGGGATCATGTAAAACCAATCAAGTCAGAAATGTACAAGAACAATATAATTTAGGATAGGAAAGGTTCAACTTCTGAAAATATTAATTTGAAGCATGCTTGATAAGGTCTTAGTGAATAAGCCACATTCTTGATATGGATGACTATCCTCAAAGAAGTTCAAAGCAGTAAAATAACTGGGGAACATTTTAATTCTCACCAGGCATATTTAAACTCAAGTGAAAAGGTAAAATAAAAAATATTTTTATGAAACTATTTGGTGTAAATTGGGCTTTGTACGAAATCAATTTGACCAGTCTCTTGAGTGGGATGAGGCAATATCAGAGAATTCTTTTTTCTTTTTTAGTACCAGAAATTGAACTCAGGACCTTGCACTTGCTGGGCAGGCATTTGTGCCGCTGAGCTATATCCTTGGCCAGAGAATTCTTTATCTTTACTTTGGGCATGTTTTATAAAGCATGAGATGACCTAAACAGCTGTGGCTATGACAGAACGCTCAGACAGCACAAAGTGACTGATTCTTTTTTGTTATTTTGGAGACAGGGTCTCACTACGCAGTTCAGGCTGGGCTTGAGCTCACTTTGTAGCGCAGGCTGGTCTCAAACTCACAGTGATCATCCTGCCTTGGCCTCCCAAGTGCTGGGATTATAGGCGTGTGCCACCATGCTTGGCTTAAGTGACTGATTCCAAAGAGATTTTTTTCTAGCATTACAAACAAACCAAATTCTATTTTATGAATAAAAGGGGCCCTCCAGGTACAGAAAACTTCTTTAGAAAACTAATATTCATTAAAGCCTACTATATTCCAAAGATTATGCGAGGCATTTTCAACAGCACTAATCCACTGAGAAACACATCAATAACTAGTTTCCCAATGCATATAGCTAAAAATTAGCTTAGAAACAACTAAACATAACATTGCAGTTCTCAAATTATGCTGTATTAAAGAGGATCTTCTGGGCTGGGGATTTAGCTCAGTGGCACAGTGCCTGCCTAGCAAGCGCAAGGTCGTGAGTTCGATTCCTGGTACTGGAAAAAAAAAAATAAATAAAGAGGACCTTCTACTATAAAAATGTTACTAATTTTGTGTTTTAGAAGCTATGTTTCAGTAAACTTCTAAAGTGGTAAAACAAGCTGGGCGTGGTGGCACGTGATGAGTGAATCACATAACCTTTTTCATTTCTTTTTACTTTTCTACATCTTTATCCAAAACCCTGAGACTGCTGTATTTTGAATCACTCTTTCTGTGATGAGTGATTTATTATGAGTGATTCTGAATCACTCATAATAAATAAATAGTGGTAAAACTTTTAAGTGTTACCTTTATATTTTCTTCTATCCAAATGGAATGTACAGAAAAGCATTAGGAATGTTACTTTGTGGCTCAAATTCATGGTTAAGTTTGACTCACTTTAGGCTGAACTTCATATAATAGCTCAATAGTTCTGCTGAAAGGCTCCGACCTTGTTCTAAGACAACCAAGTCTCAAGATTCTGGGACACCCAAACACTGCCTTGGTGACCTCAGCATACATGGTTATTGAGTTGTGGGACAAATCTTCAATTTCGTCCAGGAAGTTCAAGTTGCCCTAAACCACTCCCTGGAACTGATTCCATGTGCCATCACCCACGGTGACCCAGGTAAAGCACCTAGGAAGGAGCTGCTTAATATCAGAGTACCAGAGTAATTCTGAACCCAGGACGACATTTCAAATTCGCAGTACTCTTTCAGGAATAGCTATAGGGACACAAATGTTCACGATAGGGTATTTAGGTTTAAAAGGGATTTGAACCATTTTACAGTAACTTAAAATGACATACATCTTTTCACCCCTTCTACACATATAAAGAACTATACGGGAGATATCTCTGAAGATAGACCTCTGCAAGAAAAATAAAAACACTTTCTGGCAGAAGGAAGAGAAAATGAGTTCTCTGGTCTGCTTTCAACATTCCTAAACGGGCAGCAAGAGGTGAGACAAGGCTTGGCTTTGAGCAATCTTATCACAGAGAAGTAGAGCTGGCAACACCAAGAACAAGCTGTGCAGAAGCAGTGTGAGCTCCTGGCAGCCTGCAAGCTGCCTGATGTCTGGCCAGGGAGTGGAATTGCTCCTCACTGCCTCAATGCGTCATATACTCTACAGCGATGGCAATAAATCAGAGGTTTCCAAAATTAGCACTCACTCGCTGAGCTATGAGAAAAAAAACCATTCTAGCCACTTTAGTTCTAGATCTCAAGCTTTCTCTGGGAAATCCACTTAGAGGACATCAAACAACTGGATTCTTGAGATAAGGAGACCTCAGTTGCCTCTGCTACATCTGGTTCTTGTTCTTCTGTGTTAAGATAAATGTAAGCCATGTCCACGAAAGCCAGGCTGGGTCTGAAAGGTACAATGGGTTCCGTGTTGGCAAGTAAGATAAAATCAGATAGAACCAAACTAAGTCAGAGGAAAATAGTGACCCAGCAAACACTAGGCTCTCCCTGCTTGGGAACAGAACAAGTGGAGGATGTCAGATCCACGCCACCCAGAAGGGTCACTCTAAGATCCTCGGTTCACTGTGTGACACTGGGTGTAGCGGTCACGCTATTAAAAATTCTTTCTCCTCGACACTATCACCTGTTTGCTTGCTAAGCTGAATTTAGTCAATTAAACTATAAGCAACTTCCCTATTGTGGACAACTTCACCTTTAGGGGTCAAGCTGTTATAATTCGTAGGAACACGTTCAAACTGGCAGGGCTGGCCCGGCAGTGACACACGCCTGTGATCTCAGCTACTCAGAAGGCTGAGGCAGGAGTGCAGTGTGAGGCTAGCCTGGGAAACTTGGTAAGACCCTATCTCAAAATGAAAAAAAAAAAATTATAGGGCTGGGGATGGAGCCTCAGTGATAAAGCACTTGCCTAGCATGCGTGAAGCTCTGTGATCAGTCCTCAGACCCGCTGAGGGCAGGGCTAGTCATGAGGCAATAAAGATCCAAATAAATCAGGTCCACAGTCCTATGTAGGAGAGCTTCGTATCTTACAAGGCCAAATACTAAGGGAAGAAAATGATGCTCCTCCTGCTCTTCTCTTGATCCTAAATCCTTTTCTGTTTCCTTTACTCAAAATATAGTTGGTACGTTTTAGAGCTTGGCTGTTTCACTGGGGGAAGGGCAGAGAACCGACAGGCCATAATGTCATAGACGAATGCCAAGGGGGCACTTTGGGAAGAAAGAACATCATATGCTTCGATTCCTAACTGGGGAATGCTGAGAGTCTGCTCAAAAACAGAGAAGGAAGCACTTCGGCCACAGGAAGACAGGCATGCTTATTACTGTGGTAGTAATAAGGACACTGGATAATGACATACGAGGAGTGAAAGGCCTTTTGTTTTCTGCCTACGCAGGAATGCCAATGCAGGATAGAGATTAGAAAGACAAGCCCAGCTCCATAAAGGGCTTCGCTGCTCACGGCGCTGTCTCGAGATCAACCTGACAGCTAGGCCCCAATTCAAGAAATCTGAATCATCTTCTCAGTTCAACGCACTGAGTCAGAGAGTAAAGAACAGGGCCCAGGCCCGGGAAGGGAGATAAACACTGCGACGAGGCTGTATTAGCTGCTGTGTTTTCACCGTACCAGCGAGTAAACAAGGGCGTTACCAAAAACAATGATGACAACAAAGACAAATGTCCACTTAGAACGCAGGCGCATCAACGTACTTTATCCTCTGGACAAGCCTATGAGGTAGATACTATTTTCATTGTTGTTTTACATATGGAAAACTGGAACACAGTCATAAATCATCCTGAGGTACATGACAGAGTACAGACATAGTGCCCTGCTTTTCTGGCTTCAGGAATTATTCTTAACACTATGCTGACAGACAGCCAAAATGACAAACACCCTACCATTAACTGCGCACAGGCCAGACCCTCCTCTAACCATGCTCCACGAGTACCTCCCTTAACGCACACCGTGACCCCATGAAGACACCAAGGCAGAGTGTTTAGTACCCAGTCCAAGGTTTCCGTCCAGTAAGAGACTACTCCAGGATGTGCCCTGGGAGAACCCGGCACCAGAGCTACTCTTAACCAGGACACCGCACTGCTGCTGGTGTCTCGTTATGTGGAGACATTGTTATGTCTCCACATAACAATCATGGAGGGAGCTGTTAACTCCCTCTCTGGGCAAGGTAGGAAAACTCAAGTTCAGGGAGCAGTTATGAGTCAGAGTCTGCGTTTATGCCTAGGTATGGATCTCGCCTTCCGTGCACTTGACCATGATGTATGGAGGACTTACCAGCAGGCAGGAAATACAGGGACCACTGGGGGCAATCTTGTCCTCTAAGGCAGTCTGGGGCCCTCCAGATGACCTAACTGACGACACCAAAGCCAGTCACAACTGCGGCCATGTTTCACAGAAGAAGAAGACCTCGAAGTTCCTGACTGGTAGTATTTCCCTCAGGGAGACAACGAGACACCTCCCAAACATCTTATACCCCACTCCCCTGCCCTCCCTGTCCCCAACAACAGTTAAGCCATTTGTACTTACGCTTTAAATGCTGGGAGGTAGGAGTATATAGAAATGCTACTTAGGTTATAAATAAATGGCAGGTGTTTTCTGATATCTGTTGTTGCCCAGCTGCTAAAAAATGTGTTCAGTAAGCCCTGGTCCCCACCTGAAAGCAAAGAAAAAGAAGGAATTATGGTTAATAAACTTCAAAGATAGTTCAATATGGCAGTATATAATCACACCTTTAAATTATGCAGCAGTTGTTTTATAAAATAATAAAAGTCCGTGGAGAAATCTCTCTGTGTTAAAGAGGTTCTGAGAGACACCTAGTCTTCCAGAGACAAGCACTTTAACAGAAAATCTAAGAGTTCTCCTTCTTAAGTTTTAAAGGATAACGAAGATGGCAATGAATATATTTCATTGTTACAAGGATGGCATGGACTGAATGTTCATGGCCCCCAGATTTTTTATGTTGAAACTCTACATCCTAAGGTGAACTGAATTAGGACTGACAGAGGTCCCCTCCTTTGGCCACATGTAGTTATGGCAAAAAGACACCCATCTATGAAGCAGGAGGTAGGCCCTCCCCTGACACCAAGTCTGCTGGCAGTTCGACATTGGACTTCCTGATATCCAGAACTTTGAGAAAGAATCACTGTTATTTATAAGCCTCCCAGCTTGTTGTATTTTGCCACAGCAATCTGAACAGACTAAGAAACAAACAAATATGAAAACAAGACAATTTTAGCAATATGGATAAACTGATATACTTTGAGGTACAAATTAGTAAAGTCAAAACATTATGCCATTCCCCAGAGTCTTACACTGGATACTTCAAAGACATTCCAAATGTGGGAATGGACACTAGTGACTGAGGTACAGAGATCTGAATTCTTAATTTCCTTTCCCCTACATCATCAAAGGCCAAGGAAAGGTTCACAGCAGTGTATTCATAAGGGCAAGACCGGCGACAGCCCAAACATTCTTCAACAGCTATGTCAATATATTCACACAAAAGAATATTACTCAACAATAAAAAGGAAAAAATAAACATGACTTGGTTGAATCTCTAGAGAACTGTGCTGGGTCAAAAACTCAAATGCTGGGGCTGGGGATATAGCCCGCCTGGCAAGCACAACATCCCAAGTTTGATTCCTAGTACCAAAAAAAAAAAAAAAAACCAAAAAAACAACCACCTCAAATACTAAAGGACTGTACGCTGTGTGATTCCGTTATATAACAACCTTCAAGTGATAAAACTACAGGTAGAGAACACATCTGTAGTTGCCAGGGACTAGAAAGGGGAGAAGGAGATAGCCGTGGCTATGAAAGAGTATCACAAGGAGTCCTTGTGCGGCAACTGTTGTGTCTTCACTGTGGCAATGGTGACGACAATCTGCTCACATAATAAACAGCAGAAAACACATACATACACACAGACACATACGAATGAATACAGAAGCTGGGGCAAGACTGGCAGAATACATCAATGTCAGTTCCCTGGTTGGTAGTACAGTTGTTTCTCTATTTTTATTTATTTTTTCTTTTGGGTACCAGGAATCAAACTCAGGACCTCACACTTCCCAGGCAGGCATTGCATCCGGTAGTACAGCTGTGAAAGATATTGCCACTGGGGAAAATCAGTACAGAACGTAAGATTTCCCGCGTAATTTTTTATCACAGCGCTTTGAGTGACTCTATAAGTCACTCAAAATAAAAAAGTATTTTTAAAAAGTCCAAGAAAATGAAGATGAAATGCAAAATACAATCAAGAACTGTTAGTCACTAGATTCTAAATTCCACCAGAACAGGAATTATGGCTCTTTTTGCTTATCATTCTAATTCTGGCACATAGCAGAATGCCTGAAGACAAATTATTTATGGAATAAACAGAAGAGCCTTGAGGATATCCTGTAATGGCCAGAAAGTTAAAACAACTTAAATATTACACTATGGAAATGCTACTGGTGGGAATATCACTAAACCACTAAACTGCTATATATATAAAGAATATCATCTGCTGTGTAAAATACACATATGTGTGTATATATATTATATATCTGCTTGCACTGTGATTATAAGAACATAAATATTAATAAACATTCATACAGAAAAATGAAACAGTGATTACATCAGAGTACTGATGCTATAGATGTTCCTTCCCTTTACCCTTCCTTTTATTAGTTTTGTAATTTTAAAATATTAATACAAAGGGGGCAAGAATGAGAATTATACTAAGATCTTGGGGGCTGGGGATTTAGCTCAGTGGCACAGCGCCTGCCTGGCAAGCGCGAGGTCGTGAGTTCGATTCCTGGTACAGGAAAAAAAAAAATTTATACTAAGATCTTTCTAAGCATTCTTCACTTATTAATCTATTTTCATTATGAGGTCTGATGCTATCAACAGAAAAACATAAACTGGATGTGGTGGCACAGTGCTCTAATCCCAGCACTCTGGGAGGCTAGGCATGGGTGTGCAGGTCATAAAACATATTGATAACAAATATCTACAAACACTACCCAATTGAAAAACACGAACATTAGCAATTGTGTCCCCTGTGAGGGCTCCCCAATTCAATCTCATTGCCCATCCTCCCAAACACAGCTCTTAATTGTGAGTTCTGTTTGTAACTTTCTTGCTTTCCTGTATTTTACTACATATAGTATATATCCCCAGGCAATATAAGTCATCGCTTCTGTTTTGAACTTTGTAAAACTGGACATCATTTTTTCGTACTACTTGTTTTTTTAAGACATATTATAAGAACTTTCTACAAGAAATTCTACTTAAAATGCCTACTGGCTGCATGTAATGCAGTAAAGAACTCTAATTCCTTGGAGGCCTGCATGGCAGTTTAACTTCCAAATCCGCCCTGTGTAAGCCTGGTAAACGGGAGTCAGCGCTGCTGATCCCTCAGGCTCTGGCTGGCTTCCACCGGCCACAAAAGGCTGATTCTGTTTAGCCTTAGGTACCCTGCGAACAGCACCAGCCCATCAGCCGTGTACTACAAAAGGACCAGGAAGCTCTAGAGGGACATGACACAGGCAAGGAGGAAAAAACAGCAAAGTAGCTTGGTAAATGAATGGTGCCCATTAAACCGGCCAGGCCTGAAACCTAACAAGAACCTTGCCTGCAGAGGGTGGTGAAATGTCCATGGCCACCGAGCTTATTATGCAACTACAGAGGTCACCTGTCAGCCCAAAGCTGTGGATTAAAAACAGAATTCAATCCCACCTAGTAGTGTGTGCCTTATTTTTTTAAGCAATCTAGAGATCTGAACCATCTTTTTTTCAAATGTACAATTCAGCATTTCAAGGTCAGACAAATATTGAAACGTCATTGGAAAGATCTAGGCGTAGCATTGGCATATTTTCTCTCTAGAAGTCTCCGGAGGAACGCACAATTCAGAGCAGAATGGGAATCTAAGTATGCCTGTGATATAAAACAAACAAGGATGCCATGAACGCTGGATTCTCACTACAAAAAGCCTAGGAGTTTTGTCCAGTATTCGCTCACTCTCTTGAAACTTGTCAGCAGTTGACTTGCCTCCTGTGGCAGGGTGGGGGAGTCAACTAGTTTAAGTGTGAACCCCAGGATCTCAGCACAGGAATGATCACCCTATAGCTGCGCTCTCTAACGTGTTACCGGCCCACGCCCTGGTAACACGGGTGCCACCTGGATGCTGGTAGGAGGGTACAATGTGGAGCCCCAACCCAGACCTGCAGAATCAGAATCTACTTTTTTTTTTTTTTTTTTTTTTTTGGTTTTTCTCCGGTACCGGGAACCGAACTCACGACCTTGAGCTTGCCAGGCAGGCGCTTTGCCGCTGAGCTAAATCCCCAGCCCCAGAATCTACTTTCTGAGGTGACGTGTTTGCATATGAAAATATGAAAAGCACTGGGAACCTTTTGGACAATGACTCCCTTTTTACCACATCTGAGGATGCAATTTTTAAAAAAATGACGTTTCTATAGAAAACGTCTAAAATTTTGTACGTTTTGGATAGCCATAACCTATGTAAAGATGAATAAGATAGATTCCAGCTCTCAAATGGCTCTCTATCCAGCAAGAACACAGAGGGGCAGGTGTTAAGCAAATAATTCAAAATAAAATATGTTTTATATTATAATCAAGTCATTGAAAACTGCTGGAATAAACATGAGATTCATGCTTTAAAACCAACTTCCTACAAGATAGCTAGCTGGCAGGTATCATCATTACTGCTTATAGGGAGCGTGCCAAGGATTACTAAATTATAGTTTATGAACGGCCCAGCTCTGGGGGATATTCCTAGGAGGTTTACGGAGGATCAGCGGATTAACCCCAGGTGGCTTATGGAAATCCAGGCACTTGGCCCAAGCTTCCTTGCATCTCCCCGTCTTCAATCCACAAAAGAACAACTGACTTACTTTTACCACTTCATTATAGCTTTTGTTTTATGTTGTCATTTTGTAAAAAAATAGATTCATAGTAACCCATTTATTAAACTATCTGATAAATGCAAGAAAACACTTATTCTTGGCTTAATTAGTCTACAGTAGGCCCTCTTGGTATAGATTCTCTCACATTTTGAATTTAGCAAAATCATGATTATATAACTGTATCATTAGTTATTAAATTAAATATCCATAAAGTCTCAGAGAACATAAGCTTTACAGAGGCAGGAGTAAAATTATGTAGTATTTATACCTACTCCTGGCCTTTTAACTAAGCATCTTGCCCAGACTAGAAACTAAAATGACTTGAAATACTGAGTCTTACTATAGGAATGTAGGAGAGTGTAATTCTTCCAAGAACACTAGACCTCATGAAACACTGCAGGACTACTGACTGTATTGCTGATTTAAAATGACAAAGCATTTTTAGCTACATGGGTCAGAAGGGAAGAATAATAGCTGTAGAGACAGAAGACCTGAGCCTCTAGTTCCTCTTCTATAAAATGATGAATACACCAGCTGCTATGTCTACGTAGAGAAATGAATTTTATGTAGTCAACAAAAAAGGCCGAGGTAAACAGGGACCTTCTTCCATTCTGTATCACCACTGGGACCCATCCTACAGAATGCTGTAGTGTGGGATAATACACAGATGGGAAAAAATAAAAACCCACACAGCCCCAGAGTTGAGAAAGTCCTGGCTTTGCCACCAGCTCAGGGAAAGCTGTTG